CTAGAAGGTTTCTAATGCGAAGCTTAAAATAGCTTTGAAGAGCTCGCAGAGATTTTTTGGCTTTTAAGATCTCAATTATTCTTAGCTCTACATTTAGATTTATTTTAGCAGAGATTCTCTGTTGAGAATCTTTTATATTAACCTTTGACGAAAAAACATCAAATAGGCTTTGAAAGGCATCTTTTCCATCATATCTCCTCCATGATGTTTGCTTACAAAAAGAGAGAAGATGTATTAGAATGCTGAGCTTTTAAATAAATGTTATTTTGACGGAGAGAGAGTTAGAGAGAGAGTTTTGTCTCAATTGACGAACATTATTCCTCCAGATGATACGATTTGCGTCGGATTGCGTGATGAGCGTAGGAGCAGTGGAGTCACATGCTAGGCAGTTGGCCGAAGTGGTTGTTGAAGCCGACGTGCGAGGTCACTACAGTCACGGATTGAATCGACTAGGTGAGATCTATTTTGGCAAATTTATCGTTTCCTGCGACACCGACTGGAAAATGAAGATCATATAATTTGCAATGTGCTCTTTGCAGAGATGTACGTGATGGATTTAGAGAAGAAAACATGCAAACCTGACGGTGTTCCAAAAATACTAAAAGTTTGTTGAGACTAGTTTAACTTCCCTCTATCCTCTTCCTAATTTTATATTTTCAAGATTTCATTTTCACTTATAGGAGCGGGCGGCTTGTGCATGGGTAGATGGCGAAAACCTCCTTGGACCTGTGGTTGGTAACTTTTGCATGGATTTGGCAATACAAAAAGCAAAGCAAGCTGGTGTCGGTTGGGTAGTTGCAAAAGGTCCGCCCTTTCAACCTTTGAAAATCATAGTTCAAGAATTTGTTTTAGGGTCAAACCATTACGGAATTGCTGGCTGGTATGTCATGAGAGCGATGCGAGAAGGCGTTATAGTTAGTTTTCTCTTTATAACAGCCTCAAAATGTAGCACCTTCTCAACTCTGAAATTATAGGGGATGTCAATGACGAACACCTCTCCAATATCATATCCAACTAGGTCTTCTCAGCCGGCGCTAGGAACCAATCCTATAGCTGTCGGTGCTAACGGGACCTCAGGTGATTCGT